CCGTATTACATTTACATTATGAAAAAAGTTATTCTATGCAATTACTTATTTCAAGTTGATTTCCAATTAGTTTAATTCATTTCTCCCCGGCTTTATTCTACTGGTCCAAATATCCTAATCTTCTAATATTTACATTAAGTACACTCTAAAACGTTTATATCATTATGAATACAGATGTGCGTATAGGTATGTATGACGTATCCGTCATCTTACATACTAATCTGTATTTGGGCATACTAGAATTACAATTATTATCTTATTATACTTATTAAGAAAGTATGATTGTATTCTGAAATTATGCCTGCTGACACTTATTTTAGTGTTTGTTTCCCCGAGCTTGAATAGGGGTGGAGATTCCATGGCTCTCCTCCCACGTTCAGAGTGGAGAACCAAGCGTAGCTGGCGCTCTTTACTGTAACGATAGCGAGTCTGTTTAGCCAGGTTTGAAATGGACATAAATTGGCAATACATGTATGAGGGTCGGTAAGGGGTATTTTCGTAAGCTGTAATCTATATTTTATTTTCGTAATAATGTAATTTAAATAAATAAAAAACGTAAATTCGTAGACATGAGCAAGGTGTAAAATGTAATCAGCTATTCATCCGTAATTTGTACACAGATCTTATTTTTTGTAAGCGTATAAAGCATTTTCCACATTAAATTTCGCAATTCGTACGCAATTCCCAATTTTGATTCTCAAACACAAATTATCAATACATTATAAAAATGTAATTACAAATTTGCTTTATCTGTAAAATGTAAAAATCTATTTTTTACTGTAAATGGAACTTTCATTTTATTTTTCTGTAAAAACTGTAAAACGCCTTTTTTATTTCCTGTAACCTGTACCAGCTACCCCCCCTGTCCCTCCCTATTTATCATCATGACAACATGTTTTGGTTGCGTCCAGCATTTTGCAACTTGAAAGTTCTTATCGAAACTATAATGGAATACGCTACTGGTGGAAATTTTGAAAATCTTTTTCAAGTGTACTTGGAAGTATTCTTGTTTCCGGAATCATTTTATTCATCATAACGTAACTATTCAACTTTTATTATTCAGGGGAGGTCATGGCGCACGCGTACCCACCCGGAAATGGTGACATCCACTTCAACGACCTTGAGAATTTTGCTGTAGATTCCGGCACGGCCGATGGAATCGATCTGGAGTGGGTAGCCACGCATGAAATCGGACATAGTCTGGGCCTGGGGCATTCTGAATACCATAAGTCGGTCATGCATTCAAAGTACCCGGGGTACATTTCTAATCTTCAGCTTACGCGGGATGACGTCAATGGCATTCAAGCCATATATGGTAAATAATTATTCATAAAGTTCATTGATAAAGATTGAATGATTGATTAGGTATCCAAATTAATATTTTGTATTCTAGTAAATTGTGATGTAACTGTTCGTGAAAAATAATATGTGTTCAGAATCGCATATAGTTTACTTAAAATTTTAAAAACAACAAATGTTTTTTTTTTGAATTTGCAGTTTTTGAAAAAAATCAAAACACAACATGATTAGTTGTATGTCATAAGTCTAGTTCTATTGACATGTTGATAATATGCTATTAACTAATTGTACTAACTGGCTACATGTGAAACGTCTGGACTCATTTCCAAACTCTGTCCCGCGAGTTTTCGTGTTTGTTATACTGCCCTCAACGGTAAAGACTGCTAGTTCGGGATTGCAATATTTCAAGCTTTTTTTGTCAAACAAATCGATTTTATAATTTTCATGATTATCGCAATAACTCAGCAATAATGTTCAGCTCAAATACGAGGGGAGAATGCAATTCGACTGGCACAAATTACAGTATTATAGTATATTCGCAGTAAGTGTGCTATTACTGAATTTCATGAATATTTATTATTATTTTTCGGTATTCCTCATTTATTATCCCAATTATT